TAAAGCTCGCTATAGTTTGTGTTTAAATAAAATCATTATATTTAACTTATAGATATATGATAAATATACAAGATAATTTGTCCATAATAAACACCGTAATTTTTGGGTTTGGTGGTATTCATGTTCATGAAGGAGAGCGAGCCAAAAATAAGCTCACTTGTACTGCATTGGTGAAAAGTGGAAGTCTACACAATAAATAAAAGCCAAATGAGAAAACTTGAAACTTCATTTTAAATTTCCTGCATCTAGAATGAAAGTAGGAAGGACATTTTGGTCTTCACAATTTTTTTTTATTCATTAAAAAGACACTTACTAGGATTCGAACCATGACCAATTTAAAGAAAAGTAAATATCATAACCAATCACACTAAGTACATTTTTTGTATCTTTTTAAATTAAAAACATATAATCGCAGAGAGGAAAAAACCCTTCCCCCATTTCAAATTCCCTGATCCAGGAGCGTTTGTCGGAAGGGTAGAATAGGGAGTGGCAATTTTTTTCTTTTTCCTCTGTAGAACGGGCCAACTTACCGTACACATGCGGATTTAAACGGGTCCAGGAGTGTCAATTTTTTTATTTAAGTCCTTTTATTTCTCCGTGGTGGTAAAATATATATGAAAAGGCAAAAACAATACTCCTTTTTATTGCTAAAAAGAAAAAAATTTAACAATAAACTGATGCATGGATTCTAATGGGCTAACCGCTAATCATAAAATAAAAGAGTTGAATGGGCATGACCTATACGGGATTTTCCCATCAAGTAAAACAAATGAACATCATGGGTTTGTCATTCTAAAACAAGCTATTTTCTCTAGCATAATATATATTATGCTATTATTTTATATCTTAGTGGCTAAAATATAATGTATTTTAAAGTTATTCAATGGTTCAACCTCGATCAACCCAATTAGTCCAATTTTTATCATTTCAAATATATATTATGTAATTATTTGATATCATAATGATTAAATTATATTGTATATTATAGGGAATCGTTTGGTATTTGTTAGTAAAAAACTAAACATAAAGATTTATATAGTTATTTTTAACATTAAAACGATCCTAAACATTTTCAGTTTCCTTTCGAAATTCTATTAGTTTTATTCTCGAATCAGTGATGTGCAAACGGCAAATTGCAGTCATCTCTTTTCTTTCATTATTTTTTTATTTTCAAATAGAAAGTTTAAAAGTAAAGAATAATTAGAGTTTGGCATGGGTCGGTCAAACAGGCTGAATTTCAAGTTTTGACCCGTTTTGATCAATTTATAATCACATGGTTCCCTGATACCCGATAAAAATCTCAATCCAAACCAGTTTGGCAGGAGAGTCTGTGCTTACCACCATTTTGTAGGGGTACAGGAACGTTGGTTCCTATCCCAAATCGTGTTGTTCATTCTTGATTTCTTTAGATTTTATCATGGCTTGGCAAAAAACCAGAAAGAACAATGATGACAAGATGAAAGTTTTATAAAGCAAATTAATCGGCCAACGAGCCGAGTAAAAGCTAGCAACGATTGTGAGATACTCATTTCCCGAAAACCGGCGGGATAGGCCGAATTCGGTTTCTATAAAACTTACTCCACCTCATCATATTACCAGTAACAATATTGTTTCACAAGGTAACAGGTACTTGATTTTAGTTCATATGGTTGATTTTTGATTCGTTGCATTATTCATGTCTCTTTCCTACTAAAATTCACTATTTGTATCACGTGTTTCTAAAAAAAACTATACAACAATAAGCTATACACCCCATTACATTATCAAATTTCATACCTCACCTTCCTCCGGCCAAATGGCCGGGGCCCACACTATTTTAATTTAAGTTTAGAAGCCGGCTAAGGATAGTAAAAGGACGATATGCTGGTGGTGGGGCGATTTTGTGCGACATCAAGTTATTTGAGGTAACGTTTTCATCAGTTTAGTGCTTATTTTGTTGGTCATGCTCATAATAAGGTGACCTATATGGTGGTCAAAAAAGTCCTTTCATTATTCTCTAGTTTGATAGGGTTCGATTTTCGTTATTGGCTCTGGTTGGCCAGGTAAGTCTAGTGTATCTCGTTCAATACGAAGTATCTTTTGGAAAAAAAAGTCTAGGAAAAGGGCGAGAAGAAGATGGTCCATGCCGTCATAATCGTCACTCGCTTCGGGTTCAGCTTCGGTCAACTATAATTGATTTTTTTGAAACTCGGCCAGATTGATTTCTGTAACCAACTACAACCGAACTGATGCAATGGTTGGCTTGTACATGCACGATCCAACTGCCAACTGTTGAACCGAAGTGTTGCCTGGCTAGCAAATGCTTGGTCCAACCGACAACTGCTTACCCAAACCAGAGACATCATTTTCATATGCACTCCATTCACTTTCCATAAATAGCACCAACCCCTCGATATAAATATATACTTGTTTTTCGAGCACCAAAACTCTACCAAAATTTTGTTCAACATTTTCCCTCGTCTTGCAAAACATCAAAAGAAAACGTAGTTGTGTGGTTTCTCTACGTTCAGTGAGTTCGCCAAATTTACGATGTTTGAAATACCGCTACGTTAGAAAGACACATCTGTTTAATCCTAAGAGAAATTATTCTAGAAGAACACCATAGTTTCCCCCACACCCTTAATTATAAAACAAAATTGAAGGAGGAAAACAATGGAACAGAACGGCACCATAATATTTCTCCTATTCACTGGGTTTCTAGATAGATAGGCTTCCATATACTTACCTGTTTTTCCGAAGGTGAAATTTTGGATTAACGAATTTATTAGTTAAGACCTAAGAGAGAAGTGTTTGTTCTAGTCTTCTAGACAACCATCAACCAACATATATTAGATTTAAAAACAATATATTGACCCTGTTTTTACTTCGTTTACGTTTGTAGTAAAAAAAAAAAAAGTTAACATTTCGTCGTCTTTATGTTTTTTTTTTTATGTACATAATCAACTACGTTCTTTCTCACGTAGTACTTTTGAAGTTAATAAGGAATTAGTCGGACAGAGACAGAGGAACATTTAGTGATTGCAATTGAGTCGGGCGGCAACTATGTATTCGGCTACATTCTTCTTCCTAACAAAAACATGTTGAATTTTGTTTCTTGATGGGAACCGGTCCAAAATTCCACCAAGCTCACTCTCAAGTTAAAACTATATAAATTATATAAAAAAAACAAAAAACTATCTAGGGATTATCAATGATAATATTTTCGATGAAGAATTTGATACTAAATTAGGAATTAGTAAGTTTAGAACAAACAATTAGAAACAGATTTTTATCTAAAATCAAGAATTATTTATATACTATGCAAGGTTTATGTGTGCCACAAAATTCTCTAGACGGTTTATTAGTAGACAAGTAAGATAGTGAACGTGAAGTACCGGGATCAAGTATTATAAATTTTGTACAAGTATTGTTATTTTTTGAGTTTCCTAATCTCGAGTCAAGATGGTTCCCGAGACCTACCATATTCAAAATGTATAAATAATATTTCATTAAATACGGAAATAACACTTTTTACAGGTATTATATGTGTTTAGTACATGAGTCAATAATTGGACGGAAAAAAAAATGAAATGACTAGACAATAATATAGAAACAGAAGTTTGTTATGACCAAACTCTCATGACTTTCTTTCTGGCGAAAGAAGCCAGGCAGACACCCGATGATTTACGACAAGTCTTTCTTCATAAAAGAGGAAGAAAGCGGAGCAACCAAAGAAAGAGATCTCATGGTAACAACTATTCTAATGTCTCTAGCTCTTTTACCCTTTGTAGTTTGTACTGTGTGTGTGGTGGAATTGTTTGGTGTATCAGGTGCAGGGAAAGGAGAACGGAGTAGATGGCAAACCAGTGGTATACATAAAATGTATACGTTCATATGTACGCATATTAAACAAAATATTTATTTTTATATCATATGAAAATATTTATTAGAATATATTAAGAAATTTTTTTAATTTTATCAAACATTAATAATAAATTAAAAGCACACACATAATTTTATTACGTAAAACGGGAAGCCGAAACCACCTGGGCCAATGGCAGGGCCAAACGTAACCAGTCTTCAGTTGTTTAGTAAAGGCCTAGTATTTAATGTTGAAGTCCAACAGTTGATTTGGATCCATTATTTAACATGGGCCTGTGAACATTTCCTCACGGTGCGTCGGTGCCTGCCCTGGTCGATTTTTATTTTTATGTATATGCTTTTAATTTATTAATGTTTGATAAACTTTAATTTATTTTTTCATACAGATTCTAATATTAACTTCTTATAACCTTCTATAATAAGAAACATAAAAAGAGAGATCACTATGCTATTCATTGACATAATTTAAACTAGTTGAGTGCCCGGCCCGTTGACCGGATTATCGAGATTTCAACATAACGCATTCATGATTTACTTCATAATTTTTATCTCATTGCATCATATTAATGTAGACATGTTAAAATGCAATGTAAACATAAATTTGATACATCATGATGATCAAAGGCATCACTTATACAATGCTACTCAACCAACTCAAATTCTTAACTTGGTAAATTCCATCAACAAACCATTGGTCATTAGATCCATCTCTATGATGCATTATAGGCTTAATTGCAAGTTTGGTCACCCGAATTGCTTAAAAATTTCACGTTTGCCACCTGAATTGATTTATTCCATTTATAGTCACTCGAATTAGTTGAACAGTCCAAGTTCGGTCACTCTCCGTTAACCTCCGTTAGACTCCGTTAATAACGTCCGTCAAGTGATGACGTGGCTAACAGAAAGACACAGTCAGCACATTTAAACATTAAAAAAAGACGATCCGACCCGACCCGCCAACTCAGCCTTACCCGCCAACTCAGCCTTACTTGCCCAACCCAAGAACCAACCCAGCCTAATTCACCCTAAACCTAGACCCGAGACCCAACCCCCCTGAAAATTAAATCGCAGATGGATTAGGGCATTTCCCTTCCTCCATCTTCATCCTCTCATCCTCCCGCGCCGCCTCTCTCCTGTGCACACCATCGAAAATCACCGTCGAAGGGATGGCGAAGAGCCACTAGAAGACGCAGTTGAAGACCATGAGATAGTACGAGGCGTTGTTCATACCGACGGCGGAGATGGTGGCCCAAGCGAAGATGGAGGAAGCAGTGAACGGAATGCAGGCAAACAAGAGCCGCTCGAGCGCGAGGACGATGCTAGGGTTCTCGAGCTGGATCCACTTGAACTGGAGAGAGGCCCAGACGCCGATGAGGAAATTGGCCTGCGCGCAGAGGAAAGAGGCGAGGAGCCCGAGGGGGACGGAGCTGAGGGCGGAGATGAGGGAGGAGGTGAAGAAGAAAGCAATCTGAGAGGCGATCAGAGAGAGCCATACTCCGAAGAAGGCGGCGGACTTGAGGTCGAGGGAATCGAGGATGTAGGAGAGCATGAGGCCTAGGGTGAGGGTAGCAACGACGGGGGCGCCGCCGAGATCGAGGAGGAAGGCGGCGCAGGGGACGAGAGCAATGGCGATTCTGGCATTGTGGGAGAAGGATGAAGGGGAGAATCAGGATCTTGAGGCGGCGGAGGAGGACAGCGCGCCGGCAGGGTAGTGAGAGTTGGAGCCGCCGGTCGCGGTGGCGAATTATTCGGGGGAGTAGGAACGGCCATCGTCGTTGAAGGAGGAGAAAGATGGGGCGCTGAGGGAGGAGGCTATGTAGGGGCGGAAGGATCGGGGCTGGAGCTCCGGCGATATCATTTTCGGCGGAGCGGAGAATTTCAATTCTGGGGAAGAAGATGAAATTGAAGGATGGAGTAGGGACAAATAGCAATCACTGAATCACAACTTCATAGGAAAGGGTTTTTGATGGGGATGAGGCGATTCTCGCGCAGAGAAAAGAGGAAGAGAAAAGAGGGTTAGGGATTCATTTCAGGGTGGTTGGGTCTCGGGTCTGGGTTTAGGGTGAATTAGGTTGGGTTGGTTTTTGGGTTGGGCAAGTAAGGCTGAGTTGGCGGGTCGGGTCGTCTTTTTTTAATGTTTAAATGTGCTGACTGTGTCTTTCTGTTAGCCACGTCATCACTTAACGGACGTCATTAACGGAGTCTAACGAGGTTAACGGAGAGTGACCGAACTTGGACTGTTCAACTAATTCGAGTGACTATAAATGGAATAAATCAATTCGGGTGGCAAACGTGAAATTTTTAAGCAATTCGGGTGACCAAACTTGCAATTAAGCCATGCATTATATATAGGGATGGCAACAAAACCTGAACCCACGGGTACCCACCCGACCCAACCCGGTCAACGCGGGTAAAATCAGTGTTGACGGGTTTTGGGCCGGGTTCGGTTTTAAACCCGCTACACTATTCACCGGGTCGGGTTGGGTTTGGGTTTAGGTAAACCCGCCCCATGGGTACCCGCCCACACACATATAATTACTTTCCCGGTATATTTAATATTCTAAATAATATATCTTCCTTAAACAACTAATATTCTATATGTTTGTGGAGACATATATAATTTGTTCTTTCTAATTGTTTAGAATGAAGTTGATATTATGAAGTGGAGAGTGAAGAAACTTAGTTGACGAGGAAGAAGTTTTCAATTAATCTTATTTTTTATATATGTTTATCTTTAATTTTGAACAATTTGTATTGATCATTTGCGGTTTGTTTGTATGCTCTAGATTGGTGTTTTTTGTATGATTAATTTGTATGAGAAAATTGATGTTAAACTTTTATTTTGAAAGAAATTTGTTATTGTAAATTTTTACCACAAAAACCCACGGGTACCCATGAACCCGCGGATACCCAACGGGTTGGGTTTGAGTTTTTCAAACCCAGCGGGTTTTACCCCGGGTTTTTTTGGCGGATAAATCCATGGGTTTGGGTTTGACAAAACCCGCCCCAACCCGACTCATTGCCATCCCTAAATTTATATATGTCGAAAGGTAATTATGTGTTCCTTTGAGAATTTCATCTCTGAACACTAATGAATCCACAAATTTGCTTTCACTCACTTGACGCATAACTCTAGAGGAACCATAAGTACCATGCTCAAAATCTGGTTGGAAAACAACTTATAAGATAGGAAAGGGTTAAGAATCACTTGAGGAGTAATTTAATTTGAGTTCAAGTATAAAGCAACTAAACCATGGTAAAACGACTCAATAGCAGCAGGGATAAGCGAAGAAGGGGAAGAAGGCGTAGTAGTATTGGTGGGATTGCATAGAAAGAGTTGGGTTGGTGGTAGGGCTGAAAATTGGCCCGACCCGTCCCTGACCCTGTCTGACCCGTCCTTGAAGGGTCAAGATGTATAACTGACCCGCCCCGACCCTGTTTTTTTCATGACCCTGTCTGACCCTTTAGGGTCGGGGCGGGTCAGGAAGGGTCGGGTCAGTGGGTCGACCCTAATAAATAGACTACTTTTCTAAAAATTACAATTTGGTACCTGAATTTATTTTTTCTTACATTTTAGCACCTAAATTTTATTTTTTTACAAATAAGTCCATAAAATTTGATGGTAAAATTACATTTTGGTACCCACATTTTTTAATTTTTACAATTTAGTACCTAAACTTATAAAATTTTATAAATAGGTCCAACATGTTTGTATGATGCTAAGGGTCATAGGGTCAAAAAGTGACTCGACCCTAAATTGACCCGACCCTATCTGACCCTGACCCAACCCTAAGCCGACCCGACCCTAAATTGACCCTATAGACAAACTGACCCAGCCCGACCCTGAGGGTCGGGGCGGGTCAGTGGGTTTTAAGGGTCAAACTTACACCCCTAGTTGGTGGGAGATATCTCGGCGCCGGAGAAGAAGATTGGAGAATTGATGGTGGGAGCAATGATGGAATATAAAAACATGCTAGAATTCCCACACAATAATTGAAAACTAAAACTAAAATCTCATAATCATACATAAAGGGTTTAATGCTCTCCTTTTAGGAACCACACGCCACTAATTAAAAAGAAATGAAGAGTTGTTGATTCAGCTCAATCATATACTAACAACTCAACTAAAAGGAAACCATCAAAAGTTGAGCGCAAATGACAAAATTAAGGTTACCTCCAATATACTAATGACTCGATCAAACTAATAAGACACAAAATTAGACACTACTTATCTCCCCATTAGTTTGAATAGAGAATCGACCTTAATTTTAATAAATCAATAAATGATTCCTCATTTTAAGATAGACATAGGTTGTGGTTGCTGTTGCACAACCATAAACCTAAAGATCAATAGCCACCACTATTCGTAGTACAACCAATTTTTTTATCTCCTCTATCTGCAATCTCAAGAGTCATTTGTTTCAACCCAAAATTCACTTTCTAATTCTTCTCCTGCAATTCTATTTCTGCTACTTTGATGGACCTTCTCTATGTGGCCCTCAATTTCTCTTCCAATTGAGATTCTTGTCAACTCCCTCTTCAACTCCTCAACCTTTTCTTGTATTTGGCCAACTCATCTTCCTTAGGGGCATTTGTAATAAGCTCGGTAAAGTCACTCCTCATCTCCAATTCAATCATTATGCTCATATCCTCTTTGACTGCTTTCACCTACTCCGGATCACTTCCATGCCACCTTCTCCATTTTCATAAATATTCTCATCATCTCTCACTTCTCTCTCTTAAACTACTCCAGTTTTACTTTCATGTCTTTCAATACCCTCCTCAATTTGATCACTACCCTCGTCAACTCCCTCTTCTCTGTCTTCACCTGATGTAGTTGAACTTTACTTGCTACCAAATCCAAACATAATTTCTTCCCCCGGTACTTCCTTTCCCAAACCTAATCCCAACTCTTCTACTCCAAGTTCAACACCACCACCTCCCAGAGTATTGTTACGTGGAGGCTAAATTTTACCAATCATTGTGGCTTCCAATTATATTGATTGACACTAAACACATCGACAAAATCAACAGTGTCTAACTAATCCTGAAACAATATCAAAATTTGATCGGTGAGTTGGACCATAAGAATCGAGATAAATGAAGAAAAATATGGTTCTGGAGAACATTAGCTATGACAAAATAAATCCTGAGCGGAAATATTATACTGGAAAATAAAATGGTGATATTATTTTATTATTTCAATAGCTAACCAAAGAACAAAAAAAAAATACAGCAAACAAACAACAAAAAAGTAGATAGGGAGATAGAAAAGTACAAATGCTCGTGTTCTACCCAAATATCTATGTGATTTCAAACAAATCAGGCATCCAAACCACCGTTCAAATTCCTTTTCTATATTTTATAAATCAATCACAAACAACTTAGATAAATTGGGAAGAAAATAATAGCCTGCCAGTTCAACTCAATGAACCTTCTATGAAGATAAAAGTCTCACTGAAGTTGAAACCTAAAAACAGAAAGAGGAGCAACAACGCAAGAGATCCACCGGGCTTCAAACATCATTTACACAATAGGATCAAAATAAATAGATCTTCTGAATGTTCTTCTCATGATACAACCTGAAAATAAAAGTTGCTTTTGTTATTAATAAGTAAGATAAAATCATGGGACAAAGAGAAAAAATGAATGACTTACATATGTGAAGCGATTAACCTTGGACGAAGATCAAAAACTCATTCAAGTTCAAAGTCTGGTATAGGAAGAGAAGTGAAGGAGGACTATATAACTGATCAAACAACGTCTTCAGCAATAGAAGCATCAAAATAGTTATTGTAGTAATTTATTGATATAGGAGAGATAGAATCATTGGTGAAATACTACAACACCTTTCATTTTAATTAACTACTAGTTGTTAACCCGGCCCGTTAGCCGAATTATTTTAGATTTGTCGACACGTAGAGTGAGAGCGAGAGAAGGCCTATTGTCGGATAATTGTATATTTAAAATGTTAATAAAATATTTATTTTTATTAAATAATTATTAAATATATTTTTCATACAAAATACTAAAACATTTCTTATTTTTTAAAATTAAATATATATCCAAGCCAAAAAGGAAATAACAAAATTTATTAACATATTGAAACAATTTGTTATCGATTGTATGTATAAAATTACCTAAATTCGCTTTGTGTTTTAAATTTTATTTATATAAAAAGGTACATGTATCCCCTCTTTCGCTCCAACCCCAAATTTTCTGAAAATGGCACCCCGGTACCCACCTCATGGTATTGCTGTTTCTCATCATCTTCTAATTGTTTCTAGTCATTGTTCGTCGACCCTTCATTACCTTCATTCAAAAAGCCTATCATCTCAAAAGTTTCAATATTCTAATACAGATACTTCTCGTATTCATCCAAACAATTTGTAGATCAGTGGTCACCATAATAATCTCATCGAATTTATCTCTTTTATTCTAGTCATGAGTTCTTAATCCGGTTGATTTGAACCAAGCATGGACCTTATGTTGTCATCATTTATTTTCCATTTTTACTCTCACGTAACATATGAATGCTATTTGTAGTAAAATAACCACTCGTTTTCTTTCAGCTGCATATATTAATTTGTGAATTTTTCCTGCATATCGCCCTTCACAATATAATAATTTAGTAATGGTTTTTGAATTTTTCCAAGTTCGAGTACCAACTCCACTGTTATATGTTTTCTAGATATAAATATATGCAACAAATTTGTTTACTGTAATTGGTTATAATCAATATTGTCAACAAAATTTAAATTGTTGGCTCATTGAAGCAAATGGGTAATGATTAA